CCATCCGCCGGTCCAGGTGCGCGGGGCGGGCCCAGGTGTGTGCGGGTAGCGGCCTCGCAGGCGCCGCCCTCGGCGTCCGCGGCCCGGGCCTGAGGGACCGTTACCCGCCCGCCGCCCTCCGCCCCTCGGAAGCCCGAATGTGGCGTCGCTGGTCCCCAAGCCTGGGCGCCGAGAACCAGGGCTCTGAGAGTGAGGAGCTTCGGAATGATGGGCTCAGGCCTCTCCGAGCGTTAGGCATGACCTCCTCGGCGCGGGTTTTAGGTTCCCTCCCGACCTTAGCCTTCCAGGGCGGCTGCACGTTTCATTTAATTGCTCACACGGAACTTTTTAAGTGGCATTAATTTTGGCGTGACTTTTAAGGGCAAGCATGTGAGAGTTTCTTTGGTTTTGGAAGACTACCTAATTTTGACATCTCAGAGCTCAAGATTTACGGATGGTAAGATTTTCCACTTAACCAATGAAGGAAATTTGAATTTAACGTAGCAAAATAAGTATTTCCATTCTCTGATTTAATACCACCCCCCGCCCCTTTCAAAAAAGCCTTTAGACATACGTATTTTGAGTCCTTTTCAGAAGCCTGGATTTTAAAAATGAGTATCAGAGGCGCTTATTGGGCTCATCAGTGAACTGTCGAATCAGTAGAATAAGTCAACGGATTTTCTATGATTTTTACGTGAATAATTTTAAAATTAAGTTTTAACGAACCAAGTCTTGAGGCCGGCGTCTTGGGGTAGTCGAAAGTGACAGCACGGAAAGTCCACTGTCTTTAGCGGGAGGAGATATTTGCATCCTTACTTTGTTGCTGTTTGCCAGTTTCCCAAATTCTGGTATGGTGAGACACCTAGTGGTGAAGTAGCTGAATAGTAAAATTTGTTTTAATTTAAACCAACCTAACCTTACCAAATTGAGGGAAAATCATTACTTACAAGAATAATTCTTGCCGGACGTGGTGGTGCATAGAATAATGCTGAGAAGAGGCGAGGATTCGTGGATGGAGATTTAATTTGAAAACGTTATACCTTATTAGTCTAATATATAAAAGGCAAAAATTATTTTAAAATATAATGCAGCCGGGGGTGGTGGTGCACGCCTGTGATCCCAGCACTCGGGAGGCTGAGGCGGGAGGATTGTTGCAAGTTCGAGACCAGTCTGGGCTACAAAGTGAGTGCAAGGCCAGCCTGAACTGCATTGCGAGACCCTGTCTCAAAGACAAAAAAAAGAAGAAAAATAAAATATAATATAATACAAATTGTAGGAAGCAAAGTTTGGTAATCTTTGTTTTTGTTTTAGTTTTGTTTTTCTTCCGGTACCAGGAATTGAACTCACGACCTTGCGCTTGCCAGGCAGGCACTGTGCCACTGAACTAAATCCCTAGCCCAAAGTTTGGTATTCTTGACTCCTAAACATGTGCAAAATATGACCGCAAGGGAGAATGTGGGAGATTTATCAAAGAGAAATAGAGGTGTGAAAAGATACATACTTTCTCCAGTACAGCGGTCTTCTAATGATCACTATACCATAAATAATTTTGTATCTAGTGTGGCAATTTCCTTTTGTAATATGATCATTCACTCATGTGTATTTGCATAGGTTATAATCCCTCAGAAGTCAACTAAAACATATGTTCTCAGGATCTTTTAATGAAAAAAAGCTTATACATTTGGCCTGGAGAAAATTTTATATGAAAGATGATTTTCTTAGTGTTCACTGAATAATCTGGAGAAATACCAAAAACTATAGTGATGGGGCTGGGGATTTAGCTCAGTGGCAAAAGCACCTGCCTGGCCAAGCGCAAGGTCGTGAGTTTGGTTCCCGGTACCAGAGAAAACCCAAAAAAAAAAAAAAAAAAAACAATAGTGACTTCCTTTTTTTTTTTTTTTTTTTGATCTTGTTGAGACAGGGTCTGGCTATGCAGTTCAGGCTGGCCTTGAGCTCACTTTGTAGCCCATGCTGGTCTCAAACTCACAACGATCTGCCTGCCTCAGCCTCCCGAATGCTGGGATTACAGGCATGTGCCACCACTCCTGGTTTGACTTTCTTTTATTATCATCTTTTGAGTTAAGATTTAACTCGTTTCACTCAAAACCATAATACCGTTAAAAAATTGAGTAAAATATTTCCTAGTGTCATTCCTCACTCACATAATTGCTGAATAATTGTTCTTCTTTAAGTAATTGATTTGAATTCCTTATTTTCAACTTTGAGAGTACTATAAAGAGTGATTTTCCTACAAAGAGTTGCCTATTTGTGATTTCAAGCCTGAAGTAGGACATTAAAATATTTAGAAACTGAGTTATAAATAAGTATAACATGCCAAGTTTAAAATAACCCTATATCTAAGGCACAGTAGTTCATTTGACTTAGGTCAAGTTAAATGTGTCAGTAATTTTATCAGTGAGCAATTTTTTTTTTTTTTTTTTTTTTTGAGACAGAGCCTGGCTATGTAGTTCAGGCTGGCCTTGAACTCACTATGTAGCCTAGGCTGGCCTCGAACTCACAATGATTCTCGAGTCTCAGCCTCTGAGTGCTGGGATTACTGGCATGTGCCACCATGCCTGACAGCCAAAGAGTCTTTGTAAGAGTAGAAGCCTCAGAATTCAGACTTTGTGAAGGACCACAGGTACTGCAACAGGCCTCATTATATGTATGCTCAAGCTCATTATTTGACCATTTCCCAGATCCCTGTATAGAGAGTAGCATATATTGTTAAATAGCTTTATTTATATCCCAGAACTTTTTTTTTTTTTTGGTTTTTCTCCGGTATCGGGAACCGAACTCACGACCTTGCACTTGCCAGGCAGGCGCTTTTGCCGCTGAGCTAAATCCCCAACCCCTATCCCAGAACTTTTAAAGCAAATATCTACCTTACTAATATAACCCAGGAAGAATAATCTAGAATATTAAACTAAAATTATGTGCTTTCATGCTGTTAAAATCATAAAATAATCTAAAAATAAATCTGCTAGATTTTTTTAAAGTGTAGTCCCAAAACATATTTATGCATAGTACTCGGCCTAGAGTTTAGTCAAATAATCTGGAAGTTTTGGTTTTATTATGCCAAGAAGTTGTTTTAGGTAGGATATACAACAGTACAGTATATTGTGGGATAGATTTGCTTTTAAATGAATTTTTAAAAAATTGTCAATTTTCTGTCATTATTTGTACTCAAAACAAATAATTTTTTATGTTTTTTTTGAGATAGCTACCTGGCTGCTCATTTCAAAAGAAGAATAAAATGTTTTACTCTGCAGAAACGCAGTGTTTGATGTCTGGAAGGCACTCAGCCAGCCCTGGAGCAGGAAGTGAGGTGGGCTCGCCTATCAAGTTCAAGTACTCCAGCCACAGTGATTTTTGTTCTCCATCTTCCTTTGAAGATAGTGGCCATCATGAGTTGTCAAGATCTTGTAGCTTTGATAATGCAGATAAAGAATTTTTTGCAAAGAAAGAAAAGGACCCTGAAATTTCAGGCCTGGGCTCAATACACTCCCTAGAGTCTCCTGCTCAAAGAAAGAAATTTGTCTTCCCTAGGAAGGAAAATACCCCAGAACTATGTGAAACTCCTAAAGTTGGTGGAAAAAAGTCTTTACCACGTAGAAGGTTAGATGTATCTTTCTCACTTCTAAAGAAAGACTCTGAATCACAAAACAGTTCTCAAAGTAGTATAAGCCAAGTTCTCAATTTGGAAAAAAGTATTCCTAACAGTGCTTTGGGTTTTCCAGAGCAAAATAGCTTTAGCCCTTTAGTTACTAGCAGTGTAAAAACAGAAGAAGTGACTTCTAGCAGTCAAACCTTAAGACTAAATTTTTCTCAACACAAGACTTCCACAATTGATGATTCCAAAGATGACTGTAGGCTATTTGAAGTTGAATGCATATCTCCAATTCAGGGCAATAATTTTAAAGATTCAATCGCACACAACTTTAGTGATAGCAGTTTGAGTGTTAATGATGAAAATACATATCCTGAACTTCTGGGATCCTCTGGTAGTAGAACAACCTATAGTAGAGATGAGGACATATTTGTGACTCCAATAAGTAATCTTGCAGCAGACATTAAATTTGCTGCAAGTCAAAGACTTTCTCCTTCAGTTGTGGTGAGAGGCAATATTTCCACTCCTGAAGACAGTGGTTTTAACTCACTGAGCTTGGATAAGTCAGAAGATTCCTTCTCTGATCCGGAGGGTTCTTTTCAAGAACTATTTCAGAAATATAAAGGGACTTGCAATGTGGGAGACACGATGAGAAAATCAGGGTGTCTTGGAAGGTCAAGAAGACTGTCCACTCTTCAGGAGCAAAGCTCACAGTCCGAGTCAGAGGAGGAAAAGCACATCAGCCACCCTAGGTCTGAAACAAGACCGGCAGCTGCTTCAGACACCTTGGAAAGTCAGCTGTGTACAGATAATACAAGTAGGGATTTGACTTTAAGCTTTAAGAACTTATCAAGGACCCCAGCCTTGCAATTGGTGCATGAACTTTGTATGAAAAGCAAAAGGAAAAGATTCCAGGGAAAGGATACAGATGAATTCTTAGAAGAAAGGGATGAGGGGAAAATAGCTGTACTGCAGTGTGCACTTGCTGGACTGATTGGCAAGAAGATGGGTATAGAACAACTGGACATCTTATCAGAATTAAAATATAGAAATTTAAAGCATATCCTTACTATGGTTTTAGATTCCTTGACTGCAGAGAGCCTATACAGGTAAGAAATCAAAGTTGTTTATGAAACAAAACTTCTATCATTTTTTTAAGCTGGAAGGTTTTTCTATGACTTGAGTGGCTGTCCCATTTTAAAATTTATTTTCTCTTATTATTTCTATCTTTGATTGTCTTACATTATATCAAAAATAGCTATGTCCTTCCCAGTAGAGCTTGCTAGCATAATTCCTTCTGTTTAAAAGCCTGCTTTAGAAGCAATGATAGTTTTTTTCTGGATTAAATTCTTGGCACTGTCATTTGAAATGAGAGCTCCTAAAAGTTGAACTTTACATTTTTAAGAAGGCAATGTTTATTCCACAGATTAACGATGTATTTAAGAGTTCATACACTATTGTCAGATCCAAATTGTCTTCAAGTTATGACACTTGTTTACAAATAATAGCATTGTTGTAAGACCACATGTATTCGATACCATTTAATTCTTTAATCCAAGCTCAAGAATCCAAGAATACTGTTTAGCTTTTAGTCTTTTTAGAGAACAGGGGAATGTGTTATTCCAGTTTTATTGTTAACAGAGAAGTTAAGTACTTTTGAGAAATTAGCAGCTGAAGAATTTGTGTTCACAGATATTCATAATTTAAAAAAAAAATCGAGACATTTAGGAGAATGGGGCATGGGAGGATTATGAATATTTGCAAGAGCTTTCCTGGTGGTGGTATGGAGGCACTGCAGGACTATCAGAAGACAGGAGCCTCAGGGATTGCCATGGCCAGGAAAGAGGGAAGTCAGGTGATACCCAGTCCCAGCTATGGCACTTCCTTCCAAATCCCTTTTTCACCTTTCCCCGATACATGAAGTATAGGCTGTAGTTGAGAATTGTAGCATTTCATAGCTAGAAGTCTTCTGAGATATCCATTCTAGCAACATATTTTGCAGTTGGGGAAACAGTCCCAGAAAAGTGACCTGCCAGCAGTCACTCAGAGGTACAGGAATAGATGTAGGCCTACAGCTGAGCGCTCTGATTTTCACCCAGCATTTTCCCACAAACTCTTAAAGTTTAAGGCCTTTCAGAATAGACTTTGTAGCCAGGCATGGTGGCTCATGCCTGTAATCACAGCACTCAGGAGGCTGAGGCAGGAGGATTGCCACAAGTTCAAGGTCAGCCTGGGCTATATAGTGAGTTCAAGGCCTGCCTGAACTGCATGGCAAGACCTTGTCTCAAAAAGAGAGACAGAGAGAGAGAGAGAGAAAGAAGGAGGGAGAGAGAGAGAAAAGAAAAGAAAAAAAAGAAAGAAATAGACTTTATAGCAAATGTATCACCCAAGTAGGATAATAAACAGGTTGGCACATCCCAGTGTATCTTCTAATTTTTTCAAGTTATAAATTTTTTGCTTAAAAAATGAAGGAGATGGCTTAGATATAGGACTGTTAGTTTTTTATATGCTGGAGTATTTGGATGTGGTCCAGTTAAAGAGTTGGGTGACACCTTAGGGTGCTTGTGGGCATGAGCAGCTGATAGTCATGTTTCAAAATGTCTCTTCTTGCCCACCTTTTAAATTCAGTGTTTGCAGAACACTGTAGAATGTGTATGTATTATCTTAACACTATTGTTTTTAGGAACATGAGGGATGTCAGTTAAAATAGTTATGGAGAATCCCCAATTACATCATTTGTTTCTGCATGAATAGGTGACTTTCTGCCTGTTTCCTCTGTCTGTGGTAAGGCACATGTACTGGCTTAGAGAGAGGCGGCAACTGAAGAGGCCACAGTATCAGGAGAAATAGTATTTACAACTCAGGCATTTCCCAGCCCCTCCAAAACAAGTGAATTTCTTTCCAGTATCTGAACTTTTTCCCTTTAAGTGACTTAATAAATGAGACTAATAAAAAGGCAAGATTGGGCTGGGGATGTGGCTCAGTGGTAGAATTCTTACCCTGTATGCACAAGGCCCTGGGTTCAATCCCCAGCACCACATACATTAAAAAAAAAAAAAAAAGCAAGATTAATAGTTGAAGGATTACTTTTGATTTAATAATATAGTTGAAGTCATTGATAAATAAAATCACTGGATGAAAGCTTTCTTGTCTCACTATTTTATTCTCATAACTTTGATGAATAAAATAGGAACTTTGTAGTGCTGCCCATAATTTTCAATGAAGGATTACTTCCAATGAAGGGTTACTTGTTTTTATGTTTATTTAGTCAAAATGACAGAGATTTGTTAAATACAGTAATAGGAGAAAACAAGTTGGGCCTGGTAGCATACTCCTGCAATTCCAGCCCTCTCGTAGGCTGAGGCAGGAGGACTCAAGTTTGAGCCCAGCCTGGGCAATGTAGTGACTACCCCATCCCCCAAAATAAAGGAGAAAATGATTTAACATTCTTCTATTACAGATGATAATCATTTGCTGCATGCTGTGTTTCAAATTTGTAATCTTCGTGTCATAGCATTTTCATACCCCAGTGGACTCATTTGAGCTTTATATGACCATTTATAAAATAGCGACCTCTTAAAATAATGCTGGCACATACTTAATATTTAATAGGAATTATTTCATGTAGTCAATATGAAAAATGATATTGCTCAAGTCATATTTTTTAATGAAAATTCTTTGTTTAAATTTAGTGGCCAAGGCAGGCATGGTGATGCATGCCTATAATCCCAGCCTTGGGGAGGCTGAGGCAGAAGGATCACTGCAAGTTCAAGACCAGCCTGAGCTAAAAGTTAGCTCAAGGCCAGCTGGAACTGCATAGCGAGACCCTATTCATTTTGTCTTAAAAAAGACAAAATAAAATGAAATAAATTTAGTGGTCAGAGGGCCAGAGATATAGCTCAGCGGTGCAGAGCCTGCCTAGCAAGCACAAGATCAAGTTTGATTCCTGGTACCAAAAAAAAAAAACAATTAGTGATCAAAATCTTTAAAACAAATTTTTCTAACTAATAATCATATACAAAATTAAATCTTTGGGGAAACATGCAATATAAGGACTGATCTTTTTCTTTTAGTGTTTGGAATGTCAGCAGAAACTGGCGTGAAATTATTGTTCAAGATAAAAGGGCAAATCGGAGGAGAAAATGTTATATCACACAACTAAAGGCAGATTCTGAGGTGAATATATAATGCTTTTCTAAAATGAATTTTTATAACTAGTAATTCCATATCACTGGACAACCTAATTAGGTTTCTTTATTATCTTTTCCATTTAGGAGACTCTATGTTTTCCAAAATGTATTTCCACCTATATATATAAAATGGCGACTACTGAGCACCATAAACATCTTGTTGGGTTTTGTTGCTGTTTACACGGATTTGCTGTATACAGCAGTTGAATACCAATGGTGTCCTGGATCCTAGTAATAATTACATATCCTTATCACATTTTTATCTAGTCTTTTGAGTGCATATTGCATGCTAGCAACCATGCCAGTGATGGATGACAATGATGACATTTCAGACATGGTCCTTGCTCCCTTGGAGCTCTTCTCCTGTATGATATAAGTAAACAGGTAACTACAATACAGGGGTGTCAGGGAAGTCCAGAATTCTACAGGACAGTTAAAGGAGTGCTGGGCTAGTACTGGAGAATCAGAAGTGCATTGTTCAGCTGAGACCTGAGCAATGAGGTAGCAGTAACTAGACAAGGAGAAAGGGGAGAGTATTTCAGCAAAGTGTGTAGCGAGCAGCTTATGTAGAGGCCTGGAGGTAGGTGAGCCTGGCAGTTGGCATTTGTGATGCATGATAAACTTGTACTCCTCTGAGGATCTGAGGGCTGGCTTTGAAGTTACAAGAAAAGTCCTGCAAAAGCTGATGAATTCCCCATAGGGACACTGCTTTGTGCAACCGACATCTGATGACTGACTGCCACTTCTATTGCTTGTAGATTCAACTTTTGGCATCAATACCAAAAGAAGTTCTGTTTGTTACTTTATTCTTGTTATAGGAAAAGTATTTAGTAATGTACTAAAGTACAGTGCTAATTTGAATGCATATAACAATTGAGAAAAAATATGGAATAAACAAATGTGAACATCTAAATAGATTGATGGGTTTCTTATTTCAGAGAAATATTACAGACTCCTATTAACAAAAACTTTGACTTTGAAGAAAAGTTTCATCTTCTCTTCTGTGATGTTTCCTTGTGCCTTACTCAGAGCTCCTGGCCACTTACTGCTGCAGCTGCTGGCCCTGGGAACACCTGACAGTGAAGATAGAAGGGTTGACTGCCTTCCTTTTAGAGTGATGCTCTATATGCTGGGAGCAGACCTAAAGAAAAATTATTTTTAAGCAAGCACCTATTGATATTTAAGTTTTAGCCTCATGTTTAACTCCTCTAAGGAAGTAATGTGGATGTGTTAGCAACCCCTCAACTAATTCTGGATAAAATGTTCTATTCTCCTACCTGAGCCATCACTTTTAAAACTTTGACTTCTTAAATGTCCATATTTTTTTTCTTATTTTTGTTTGCTTTTTAAAACACTTTCAAAGTAATACAAACACACTGTTTAAAAAATGAAATTTGATTATGAAGCTTATAAGAAAACACACCCTACTCTTATCCTGTTATCCCTTCCTACTCTCAAATTTTCTCCATCAAGACAACCACTTCCTTTAGCATTCTTACAGTTTTTACTTCCATACTGAATTTCCAAATAAAATTCATAGGGTGATGTTTATTTTATTTTTCTGTAGGGGGAATAGTTCTTTAATGACCTCTCATTACTACTGCCATAACTTCCCAACACCCCACTCCCACCCTAATTCTTTCCCCCACTCTATCATAAAACTAATTACATCACAGTTTGGGAGTGAATTAGAATTAGATCATGAGATCATTGAGACTGTATTGAGAGTACTACGACTTGTACACTATAGTTACATTTCTTTCCTGTCTAACTTTTATTAATTGCTCTCCCCTCCTCTCATTTGCTTAGTGTTTCTCTGTACAGATACCTGATTACTCTCCCATTGTCCACCAGAACTGAAAGCCTCCTCCATGTGAATCCTAATAAAACAGGTATTCTACCTGTTCCTCTTTCTTCCTAAGGCCCTGTGCTCTCCTCTTCTGATATGGTTGCTTTCTACCTGAGCAGTCCTAATGTCTACATCACTTACCGAAACAGAAAAACTGTAAAAGAAAGATGTTTGGTGATTTTTCTCATTACTTATACAGTGGTGTTAAAAGCTCCTCTGTGTGGAAATTAGACAGAACAGGTTAGGTATGTGTAATGGGAGCTCAGTTTTATCTGTTTGCTTTGAAACAGTGAGAATGAGCATCGGCATTGGAGTACCACACTTTTCCATTGAATTTCTTCATTCATTCACTGTCCTGTCATATTAATGGAAATTAACAATTATTAAATAACTACATTCTTACATTTGAAATCTGGTAATGTGATGGTAACTATGAAGGTTTTTGGTACTCATGAATATGTGCTTTTTTGACTGTTTTGCCACTTATTAAAGCATAGCACACCTTTTAAGCTCCATGAGGACTGCACTGTTTTATTCACTTGGCATCTGTTAGGTGTTCTATAAATACTTATGAAATGAGTGGCTGTTTATTCTGTGGCTAAAATTTGCTTCAACAACCTATCTGTATTCATTTTTTTTCTGCATACACACTGTGTTTACCTGCTGCTCAGAAGTCCAGTGAGTTTTTTTTAGTGTGGTTACAAATCACTTTTACAAATATATTATAAAAGACTGTATGGAATCTTTGAATAACTTAAACATGTTCAACTGTCTTCCTTCTACTTTCTGAAGGTCAATATTTTTTGTTACTCTTATGCATTTATTTTTAAACTATTAATCATGTAATTTTTTATGACCCACTAACTTCATTTCCTATACTCATCCAAATATAATTTATTGTCTTTTAACTCTCTCCATAGTTGAGAGCCTAATTATGGCAAAGGAGACTATTGAGGGAGAGGGAACACAATTTATAGTTGGTCATGTAAGGAAGTTTATCCATTGTACATTTTATTTTGATAATTGGTTAAGAATGTCAGTTTCTGCTATAATAAAAGAACTGTATTTTTCCATTACCAGCCTCAGCAAAGTAGAAGGTTATAAGAATTACTTGTTGAACATTTGTTTTTATTTTTTCATTTTCTAGCATTATTAATGTATAATTGGTAATAGAAATAGTATATTTTAAGGCATATGGCCAATTAATATATTTCTTGATTTCTTATGTGAATAATGTGGGAGTCCAGTTCAAATGAGATTTTGTTTTGCTCCTTTGAAAATAACAAAGCTCTTTAAAACTTTACTATAAAAATGAATCAGCACCAGATATTCATAAAAGCTCAGTTAAAGAAATTGGCGTTTAAGGCATAATCAGTCCCTCAGTGACTAACTTCAAAAAATTCAAAGAGTTCCATGACATCCAATGGCAAATTTTCAAAAGATTCATTTCTTCTTAGATTTTGGTTTAAAACAGTTTGCAAGCTACAGACTGTGAGCCTGTCAGCTGTATTTTAAAGTTTTACTGGAACACAGCCTCATTCTTTATTTACCTATTGTCCACGGCTGCTTTTTCTACAGCTGCAGACTTGAAAAGTTGCCACTGTATGGTCTGCAAATTCTAAAATATATATTATCTGGCTGTTTTTAGGAAACATTTGCCCAGCCACAGCTTAAAATAAATAGAAAAATAACTGATCATATAAGCTACAATTTATTGGTTAAATTTTTCTTTTAATATTTCTGTGGCTTTCAAATGTTAGATGAGAAAAGACTTTTTCTTTCCTAAAAAGAAATGGTTCTGGGAGAAAATTCTGATGGAACAAACCACACTGAAACATGTAAATCTGTGTGCCCCAGAAGGCTGTCCTATCTCGGCAGTGTTTTGGTATTGTGTATTGACGCCTCGTCTTTTACCACAGGCGGCTGTGTTAAATGTTGAGGATGCTGCCACTCGGCTGCATCTTTCACATCGCTCAGCTTTAAGATCAGTACAAGCACAGGCTCGGACACCCGGTTCTCAGAAAGAGCAAGTTCCAACTCTGTCTCCTTGGGGAGAAGTTTTGACACCTGTGGCAAGCTCTTCACTCACCCACATAAGCAGTAAACAGGAAGAATATGTGAAGGTGAATATTTATCATAAGTTATTAAGGATAAACATCTACAGAATTTGAAATAAAGAATTTCTGCATATGCTATATGACACCAGGAGACTGAGTGTGTGTGCTTCCACTGCAGGTCGCCAGGACACTTTTTATTGATGAAGCATTGAAGCCTTGTCCGAGGTGCCAATCCCCTGCCAAGTACCAGCCATATAAGAAAAGGGCACTGTGTAGCCGCACAGCTTGTGGTTTTGACTTTTGTGTGCTATGTCTGTGTGCTTATCATGGGTCTGAAGAATGCAGCAAAGGAGCAACAAACCCAAGGAACAGAAAAGATGCTCTCCCAGGAAGTGCCCAGAGTAAGCGGAACTTAAAACGCCTGTAGAGAGACTGCAAAGAAGTCCTCCCCCGTGCAGTGCTTTATTTTTCTGACTTAAAATTATGACTATTTTGAACACATGAAAATCTTCCCATTAATGAAAGATGACGATTTATTTCCTATTTTGTATATATTTAATACATGTCGTTGCTTGTTTTCTTTAAAGTGATGAGTTTTGAAAAAAATTTATTTTACTATGTCATTTTCATGCATTTTAATAACTTGGTGTTTTAAATAAAGAATTTTAAGTGTTGTCATATATATGTATCTTACTGTTTGATGTCACCTTTTAAATTGTTGTATTTCATCACTGCAGTGAAATAGTCTTTAATCATTTATGAAAAAGTTTTCCAAGTAATTTTAAAAGTTTTGGAATTAAAATCAATTAAAGTAATGAATTTGGAAAGTAGGTACTTGATTGAAATTATTATTATTATTATTATTATTATTATTTACCTTTTTGAGACAAGGCTTCACACTACAGTTCAGGCTGGCCTTAAACTCATTTTTTAGTCCAGGCTGGCCTCAAACTCACAGTGATCCTTCTGCTTCAGGCTCTCCAGTGCTGGGAATACAGATGTGTGCCACCATGCCTGACTCGACTGAAATGAAATATAAAAATGTTTTCAGGAGTTCTATTGAATTTACTCCATAATTGCCAGCTTTCTCTTCTTTGGCATATTTTGATAGACTTTGGTTAAGTAAAATTTACTTAATACAGTGGTACCTTGGTTTGCGAACTTAATTCTTTCCATGATTCCAGCCACAGAATTCATTGCATGATTCTAGTTGCAACCAAATTGCAAGCTGTCCTGTACTGATAAATAGAAAGACATAAAAAAGTAAATTATGGAGAATATGTGGTTATATATAATGGGAGTCTTAGTTAATAATCCCTTATAATTTATACATTTCAAAACATAGTTTTAAAAATTCTAAAACTATAGTCACAGATTTCACTTATTATTTTGACAAATTTGGAGTGGTTGGAAAAGAATCAGCTATGTAATTTTTAAATAAGAAAAGCTACTGAGTTATAACTTATGTAGATTTATAGTATACCTGTCTTAGTTATTTTCTCGTTGGTGGGACAAAATGCCCAACACCCACATGCTTAAAGAGGAAAGGTTTATTTTGGCTCACAGTTTGTGGATGCTTCAGTCCACAGTCAGCTGGCTCCAAGGCAGGGCAGCATGGCAGAGGAGAAACAGTCCATGGCAAGGCAAGCAGAAAAGCATCACGCAGTGAGCCTGCCTTGACCTTTTTATTCCGTTCAGGCTACAAGCCTATTGGTTGGTGCCACTCACACGCAGGGTGGGTCTTCTGTCTTCAGTAAATCCCTCAGCCACAGCCAGAACTGTGTGATCCAATCAGTGGACTGAGCCAGTTATTACACGCCTATAACCCATACTCGCACACCACAGATCCAGCCATCTCTCAAAAGCCCCACTCATAAGTGCATGAGGCTTTGGGGGCACATCTACATACACGCCATAACAATTTCTTCCCAAAAATGACTTGAGGTTGATTGCATGTGTCATTTATAGAACAGCGGCAAAAAATGGTTAAATCCTACTGTTGAACAAGTTAGTAAGGCCTGAAAGAAATTGGAAAATGCCTTATAATTTTTGTTTTTGTTTTAGGTAACTGCTATGTGTACATATATATTTGTATTCACACTATCCATACAGATTTAAGGGTGGTTCTTACACATTATTTTAATAAAAGGATTTAAAGTGTTAATTTAGATATAGATATGTTTGGAAAAAGCTGCCATTAATTTTAAGTTTTTGCTTAACTTGCTATAAAGTTTTGGTTCATTGCTAAATTATTAAATTTTATCTACATTCTAATTCCAAACAGGATTTTGGAGGCAAAATATAAAAATGAGTAAAGAAAGTGTTAGTTATATTTAATAAAAGATAATCTCTAAATTTTACATACTTTCTGATTTATTTGATTCTAACCAAATCAACTCTCTGTGTCTATTTAATTTTTTGAAACATCTTCCACATTGGGATCAATTTACTGCATAACATTGTTTTCTTCAGGCTTAACTATGTAGTGCAGGCTGGCTTCACACTCACAGCAATCCTCCTGCCTCAGCCTCCCAAGTGCTGAGATTACAGGTGTGCACCACCACCCCTGGCTAGGCTTAACTTTTCTTCATAGAAAAGTTTCTTTGTTTTTTTAAGAAACTTATTCTAGTCCTAATTCTGTTAATGTATAAAGTCACCTCACTCACCTCATTGATTTATTTAATCCAAACTACTGTCTTTGCCATCTCTTTTTGTGGCTCTGATGAAATCACATCTTCAGCTGGGCATGGTGGCACAATCCTATAATCCTAGCTGTATGGGAGGCTGAGGCAGGAGAACAGGTTTGAGGCGAGCCCAGTCAATTTAGTAAGATACTGTCTCAAAATAAAGGATGTAGCACAAAGTGCTTACCTAGCATGTGTGAGGCCCTGGATTCAATCCCCAGCACACAAATAAAGTAAATAATAAAGCAGGTCTTCATCTATCACATGGACAGTTTCGCTATTTTATACTCTTTGATTTTGATTTCTACCTGATTTAAATGTCATTCCTGAAGTGACTTTTAAGATCTTCAAATCACAGATCCAGTTTCTTGATAATTTTTAAAAAATTAAATGGTGGGGCTGGGGATTTAGCTCAGCGGCACAGCGCCTGCCTGGCAAGTGCGAGGTCGTGAGTTCGATTCCCGGTACCGGAAAAAAAAAAAGAAAAAAAATTAAATGGAATATTGTGTATATAATTTAAATGTTCATATTTCCCAATATCTTGAGACTTCTTATCATTTTATTACAGAATAATGGGGAAGGAAGATGCACATGTCCTTGACATCTGCATAGTAGTGCAGCCTAACCTGGAAGCCTATTTCTAGTCCATCACGAGACACTGGTGTTGTCTTTGCTACTACAGCCAGGGTGCCCTCCAAGCATGGTCCTACTTGTCATCTTGTCATTCTTTAGCCAATTAGAATTAAGCATTTTATCTCACCTTGGTGGTGAAAATAGGTTTTACTATATTAAATTTTAGAAATAAATAGTATGTTCCTTGGTACTGCAGATACTCATAACAGTGAAAGCTGAAGTTTTTTACATTTCTGGTTTTATTTTGGATTTAAGTATTTTGATCAAGTGGACATGAATAGAATACTGTATGTGTGTGTCTGCTCATGTATGCAAAATATTGGAGATGAGACTAGGTGTTTCCATTCGGGTGCATCCCTAGACCTTTTCAAAAACTTTAAGACAAGTTCTCACTAGTCACTACATTGTCCAGGCTGGGTTTAAACTTTTGATCCTCCTGCCTCAGCTTCCTAGAGTCCCAGGAATTATAATCACGTGCATCACACCCAGCTAGTGCACAGGTTTTAATGATTTTATAATAAAATGTCCTAAAGAAAAATATCAAAATAGCAATTCAGAAGGTAAGTTTCTTTTTAGCACAATGACTTTCATTCAGAGGAAAGCCAACAATTTTTTCTACTGCTTTAGGAAGAGAATCGCAATCTTTCTCCCTTTGTCTGACCCCTTGGCAGCCTTTCTAGCTAATGAGAAGGATTATTTTATTTGCCTTTTTAGTTCAAAAGGACAGCTATTTACTAATTCTCATCTACTTTGGAAAAACTAGTTAGAAACTTGTGTCAAGTAATGAAAAAACAAACACTCTGAGAACTATCTTATCATTTTATACTAGCTTTCCTGTGGGTAGACATATGGGTATTTACATTCACTTCAGTGATTTAAAGAACTAAGTCTTATTATGGATTTCTTTGTTTTTTGAGACAGGGTCTTCCTGGGTAGTACAGACTGACCTCAAATGCACAGTGCTCCTCCTGCCTCAGCCTCCCAAGTGCTGGGATTACAGGTGTACTCCACTATGCCCAGCTTTATTATGAGTTTCTTAATAATGAGGGTAAAGTTCTGTTGAGAAAATATTTTTGACATTAGTTGGCACTGTAAAGCTAAGTTTTTCCATTATCATTGTTTTTAAATTTTTAATTTAAAGAGAAAAAAAGTAAAACAAAATTTCAAAAGATAATAGGAGAGTAACAATGGTTAACACATTGCATATTATCTTTAAATTACTCAGAGTACATGAATTTAATTGTCCAAACAATATTAGCACAAACCTTTAATTTCAATGAAGAGAAATTAGTAGTATAACAATCTTAACCACACACACACACACACACACACACACACACTATCTTGCTTTTCCCTTCTTTCTTTTCTCCTTTCCCCCATCCCAGTTTCTCTTTCCTTTTGAATAGTTTCTTCCCATTTTATAATATCTGTTGTACATTTTGGATCGTATTTACTCTTTCAGCTTCTCACACTAGGGAGACAATATGATGTTTACACATGTGAGTCTGGTTTATTTCACTTATGAGTATGGTCTCAAGTTGCATCCATTTACCTATAAAAAGTCTCAGGTTTATCCTTCTTATGACTGAGTAATACTCCATTGTATAAAAAGACCACATCTTTTTATCCATTCCTCTGTTGATGGGCATTTGGGTTGTTTCCAAAATCTAGCTATTACAAATCGTGCTGTCATAAACCTGGGTGCACATATATCGTTGTGATACAATGTTTTTAATTTTTTTGGGAAGATACCCAAAAGGGGAACAGATATTGAGTGGGACCTCCAATTTTAGTTTTTTGGGGAATCTCCACACTGATTTCCACAGTGGTTGTACCAGTCTACACTCCCACCAAAAATAGAGAAGAGTTCCTTTTTCCCCACAGTCCCTCCAGTATTTGTCATTGGTTGATTTCTTTATAATAGCCATTCTTTCCGGGATGAGATGGGATCTCGGTGTTGTTTTAATTTGCATCTCTCAAACGACCAGCGACATTGAACACATATTTCTTTGCTGTTTGTATTTCTTCATCTGAAAAGTGTGTATGTATCTCAGATGCTCATTTTTGGATTGGGTCTTTAAATTTGGGAGGTCTGGGTTTTTTTAGTTCTTTATGTGTTCTCAATAGTAATCCTTTGTCTGAGGAACAGCTGGCAAACATTTTTCCCACATTGTGGGTTGTCTCTTTACTCTGTTGGTGGTTTTTCTTGCTGTGCTAACGCTTTTTAATAAGATGAGATCCCAGTTGTTGATTCTTTGTGATAGTTCCTCTGCGATCAGGGTTTTATTCATAAAGTCTTTGCCCAAACCAATGTCTTCAAGAATTTTACCTATTCTATTTTTCAGCAGCTTTAATGTTTCTGTTTTAATATTTAGATCTTTGATCCATTTCAAATTTAGTTTAGTGCATGGTGAAATATATGGGTTCAATTTTAATCTTTGGCCTGTGCAGAGCCAGTTTTCCCAGCACCATTTATTAAAGAAGCTATCTTTCTTCCAGTGAATGTGTTTGGCACCTATGTCAAAAATAAAATGGCTGAGTATACCTTTAAGTTTTGACAGAGCAAAATTGTCATAAATTTGTCAAAAATTAACTGAACATTTTCCTGTTTAATCTATTATGTCTCTGGTTTGTATTGAGTTATTTATTATGATTTTTATTTTAAATTGCTTCTGGCTTATAAAGTGTTATGTATATATAGGAAAAGTCTTACATGTTTTTAAAAGGTGGAAATACCCATTATTACTTTTCTATGCAAGGTAAATATTTCAAAGATCAGACTAAAACATTCCACCAGGGGGCACCAAAGATTCATTTATGATGATTTTGGCTTTTCTTCACAAAAGTAAATGTAGCTTTTATGTATTTGATGTTGATATGCTATGACATCGCCAAATAGAGGAAGTGTTTCTGAGTTAATTTTTAAAGTGTATATAGAATAAATCTGAGGAATAGTTATTACTCAGAGTTGGTAATTAAAATATTTTAGCTGGCTCCTAAGAGTGAGCTGCTTTCCCGGATGCCTTCTAATAGAACACCTTGTTGGCTGGCTCTGGTTTGTGCCTTGGCCATCTGTGTTTCCTTGCCCGACAGCTCTGCACTCCTGGCTCTGTCATCATGGACCGTGGAGCCAGAGAAGTGGAAGGAGCAGTGGAAATGTGGCTGATGAGTGCTGGTTATGAAAGAAATGTCGTGCTACCAGATTTCCCTCTGGTATCCTCCTTCCTGCAGAAAGGTAGTGCCTGGTTCAGGTCTTAACCACATCAGGCCTAGAATACTGCAATTGCCTCCGAATAGGTCTTCCTGCTTCTCCTTGTTCCCCACTTGAATTTCTCCTAAATGCTCATTGCCAGGCTGTTTGTACTAAAATGTGTCTCCAATCACATTGCTCAGTATGTAAAATGTAGCAGAATTTAGGCTCTCCAAATGGTCCTAACTTTCTAACAATCACACCACCAGTTCATTTTGTACACTTTGTTCCAGCCAAACTAGACTCCTTGCTGTTCTCCCAAGTGATTTCTCCCACTTCCTTTTTCTCTTGCCATGTTAAATTCTGTTACAATCCTGCTAATCCTTAGTTTGTTTCCATGAGTCATTTTCTGGTCTCTTCAACAACATGAACATCTTACCTTTTTTGAATCCAGTGTTTATTTATCCCCTTTTCTTCCGTATTTCTGGAGTGTCTTGTTTGTTTTAAACTCTCGTCTTTCACCATTAGTCAGCTCCTTGAGGGCCGGAAACTTTACCTCTCTATGTCCTTTAGCACAGCGTCTTGTGCAGGACAGCTGAGTTGCTCAAGTAATGTCTGATTGTCATGTGATATGAGAAACTTTATCTAAATCTCAACTTTCCTCATGTTTTCTGCTGGTAGCACAGGGAACTTCTAGTTATTTGTTTCTGAGAGAACTAAAAATGGAGACACCACTGCCTTTGCTCAGCCCTCTGGCCACTTCTTGCTGCGTTCCATTTACCCATCCCTCCCGCCTCTCCAACGCTACTCTCCCTCTTGCTTTGTCACTCTGCCTTCCCGCATGCCTCCCTCCTACTAGCGTTTGAATTCTTGGCTCAGGGATCATGCAGTCTGCTCACCGCCCTCCCACCCCAGCCTGGTCGCTCCCTCCCCATCAGTGCAGCTGGGCCCTTTGTACTGTGTTATCACCGCGTGTATCAGAGCTTTTATGTTTTCCTCATTAGACAGCAAGTTCTTCTGACCTGAGTCTGTGTCCCCATTACTTACTCTGAGCCAAAGCTCCATGTTTAGAGAAACCTTCTCTGTGACCTCTTTTCCACCCAGTGTAGGTTAGGTCCATACCAAGTGTGATGGGCAAAGAGAAGAGCTCCTAATTCAAACCATTCCTGTCATTGTTAAAAATGAGGAGGTGTCAAGGCCACTGACCTAAAAGGCGTCCTGCTTTTCTCCTTTGCTGCCTCCACCTTATGCACAGGCACAGTGTAATTCACTCTCACATTCAATTGCCCTGTAAGTGCTCTGGAAGGGTTTTCTGAGGAGTACATCTAGCCCAAGGATGGGCTCTTCTTTCTTACCTCCCTTTAGTGCTCTGGTGTCTGCTGCTGTAAGCCCACAGACACTGAAGGGGATGAGTAACGGGCTGTGGAATCCTGAGGCAGGACTCCTGTTTAGCATGTCTGTATCTCTCTGTTATTGTTGCTAATTTTTAAATTGGCCTGGCAGTGAGCTATGGAGACACTATTTCTTTAGTGTTAAGGGCAACCCTACGAGGGAGGTACCATTTTTATCTGCAAAAAAATTTTTTTCCAGATAA